TCAAGAGCCAGGCGCTCAACCAACTGAGCCACCCAGGCACCCCTATTTTTAATTTTTTTTAGGAACCTCCATACTATTTTCCGTAGTGGCTGAACCAGTTCACCTTCTCACTAACAGTGCACAAGGATTCCTTTATCTCCACTTCCTCACCAACATTTGTTATTTCTTGTCTTTTTGATACCCATACTAACAGGTGTGAGGTGATCTGTCAATGTGGCTTTAATTTGTATTTCTGTGATTAGTGATGTTGAGCATCTTTTCATATACTTGTTGGCCATTTGTATGTCTTCTTTGGAAAAATGGCTGTTGATTTCCTCTGTGCATTTTTAAATTGGATTCACCCCCTATCAATGATATGGTTTGCAAATATTTTCTTTCATTCCATAGATTGCCTCTTCATTTTGTTTATTGTTTCTTTTGCTGTGCAAAAGCTTTTTAGTTTGATGTAATCCCACTTATTTTTGCTTTTGTTGCTTGTGCTTTTGGTATCATATCCAAAAAATTATTGCCAAGGCCAATGTCAAGGAGCTTTCCCCCTTTGTTTTCTTGTAGAAGTTTTATAGTTTCAGATACTACCTTTAAGTCTTTAATCCATTTCAAGTTAATTTTTGTGAGTGGTGTAAGGTAGGAGTGCAATTTCATTTTTCTGCATGTGTTTATCCAGTTTTCCTAACACCGTTTATTGAAGAGACTTTTTCCCCCATTGAACACTCTTGGCTCCCTTGTCAGATATCAGTTTGGCTGTATCTGGGCACAGAGTTATTTCTGAGCTCTTTATTCATTCCGTTGGTCTGTTTTTATGCCAGTACTGTAATGTTTTGATTACTATAGCAGCTTTGTAGTATAGTTTGAGATCAGGAAGTGTGATGCTTTGTTTTCTGTCTCAGGATTGCTTTGGCTAATGCGGGATCTTTTATGGTTCCATACAAATTTTAGGATTGTTCTATTTCTGTAAAAAAGTGTCATTCGAATCTTGATAGGGATTGCATTAAATCTATAGATGGCTTTGGGTAGTATGGACATTTTAACAAATTAATTTTTCCTATCCATGAACATAGGATATCTTTCCATTTGTGTCTTCTTCAATTTCTGTCATTAAAATCTTGTAGTTTTCGGTGTACTGATCTTCCAGTTCCTTGGTTAAATTTATTCCTACATATTTTATTGTTTTTGATGTTATTGTAAATAGAATTGTTTTATTTCTTTTTCAGATATTTTGTTGTTAGTGTATAGAAATGTAACTGGTTTCTGTATGTTGATTTTGTAAACTGCAACTGTACTGAATGTGTTGATTAGTTTTTGGTTGAGTCTTTAGGATAGTCTCCTTATAAGATTATATGATCTGCAAATAAAGACAGATTTACTATTTCCTTTCCAGTTTGGATGTCTTTTATTTTATTTTTTTTATCTTGCCTGATTTGTTCTAGCTGGATTTTCAATACTGTGTTTAATAAGAGTGGTGAGAATCGGCACCCTTGTGTTGTCCCTGATCTTAGAGAAAAAGCTTTCAACCTTTCACTCTTGAGTATCATGTTAGCTGTAGGTTTGTTGTATATGGCCTTTATATATTGAGGTATGTTCCTTCTATACCCAAGTTGTTGAAGACTTTTATTATAAAAGCTTATTGTATTTTGTCAGATGCTTTTTCTACATCTGTTGAGGTGATCATATGATTTTTATCTTTCATCCTATTCATATGCTATATCACATTTATTGATTTGCATATGTTCAACCATCCTTGCATTCCAGGGATAAATTCCACTTAATCATGGTGTATGATCTCTTTAATGTGCCATTGAATTCATTTTGTTCATATTTTTTTGAGGATTTTTGCATCTGTATTCATCAGGGATATTGATGTGTAGTTTTCTTTTTTCATAGTGTCCTTATCTGGCTTTCATGTTAGAGTATGCTGCCCTTGTCAAATGAGTTTGGGAGTGTTCCCTTTTCTTTAGTTTTTTAGAAGAGTTTGAGAAGGATTGGCATAAATTCTTTAAATATTTGGTAGAATTCACCAGTAAAACCATCTGGTCCTGGGCTTTCTTTGTTGGGAAATTTTTGATTACTGATTCATTTTCTTTACTCATTATTGCTCTGTTCATATTTTCTATTTCTCATGATTTTGATATGTTGTATGTTTCTAGGAATTTATCCATTTTCTTAATTTAACATGTAAGTGGGTGACTTTAGCTACATGGTAGAAAAAGAGGATGCATTTTCACCAACTGCAAATTCTGAGAGTATCTGCCAAATGATTTGAAAAAATAATCCCTATTGTCTTTGATTCTCCAGCTGCCATATTGACAATTATACTTTGTTACTATTGTAATTGTGTATATATGTATATGTTTCAGTGAAAAATGATTATAGAAAATTTAGAAAAGAGAACAAATAAAAATCATATGTAATACCATCTTACCTAATCATTGTTGTTTTATTTCCTTTAAATTTTTCTCAAAAAGCTTTTTAGAACATAGTTAATAACCATATATTTTATATTTTTATCATTAGTGTTTTCCATTTTACTAAATTGTCTTTTTTTTTTAAACTGCGTAGCATTCCACTGAATATGCTTTTATGGGCCTAATATTTTCTATTGTTAAATATATAGGACTTCCCTCCAGCTTCTTAATATTATACTAATGTTGTATTCATAGCTTCATGCACATAGAATTTTTTATATTATATTTATTTTCTTAGATTATCACGTTTTTATTGCTTTTGCTACATAATGTCATTGTTTTTCCAGAAGTAGTACTAATTGACAAGATCTCTAGCAATGCCTGAAGGACCAGTTATGCCACATTCTTCAATATTACTTTTTAAATAATTTTACTAGTTTAATTTCAACAGCCTCGTATTTATTTCTTTAATTAGCACCAGAGATTGGATTTTTCTTCATGTGTATTTACTAGTTATACTTCTTTCATGAATTGTTTGTCCTTTACATACTAAAGTGAAGTCTTTGTTAAATTCTTGGGGAATTAACTCTAACTTTTTAAAAGTTCCACACATGTATTTATATTGGAAAATTGAAACCAGCTATATGCAAACAAGGGAAAAATAAAAATTGCTCATATTGCTACCACATAGAAATATCTCCTTCTGGGGCGCCTGGGTGGCTCAGTTGGTTAAGCGACTGCCTTCGGCTCAGGTCATGATTCTGGAGTCCCGGGATCGAGTCCCACATCGGGGTCCCTGCTCGGCAGGGAGTCTGCTTCTCCCCCTGACCCTCTTCCCTCTCATGCTCCCTATCTCTCATTCTCTCTCTCTCTCAAATAAATAAATAAAATCTTAAAAAAAAAAAAAAGAAATATCTCCTTCTGGTATTTTAAGAATATCCTTCTGACCTTTTTGTTAATGTTCATTCAGTTTTTTTAAGTAATCAAATACATCATCACACTTTTAACTTACCTTTTTTTTCATTTAATATTCTAATGCCTTTATATGAAAAATGTAATACTTTTTTTTCCTGATAATTCATGCTCTTTCTTAATGTGAAAAATATAGAAAACTGTAAAGAAGAAAACTTACCCATCATTCTGCCACCCAGGGATGATGGCTATCAGTATGTTGCAGTTCTTTTCCACTTTTCCTCAAAATTGCTTATTGTGCTATATATATTTAGGATGTTTTCATATCATTATATTATTATACCTGTAAAATTTTCTTTTTTATGATCATCCCATAGTCCCATAATTTGTTTTAAAATTGTCATGGTGTTAGCTATTTGTTTCCAATTTTCAGTATTTTTAATGTTTTCAGTAAACATGTTTTTACAAAAATTTTTGGTCTTGTTGGGAGCTGTTTATTTTTTATTTATTTATTTTTTAAGTAGGCTCCACAACCAGCATGGAGCCCAGTGCAGGGCTTGAACTCACGACCCTGAGATCAAGACCTGGGCTGAAATGCTGAAATCGAGTCAGACACTTAACCAACTGAGCCTCCCAGGTGCCCCGACTGATTATTTATTTATTTATTTATTTATTTATTTTGAGAGAGAGAGTGCACATGAGCAGGGAGGGGTGGGGGCGGGCAGAGGGAGATGGGGGAGAATCTTAAGCAGGCTCCATACTCTGCACAGAGCCATCTAGGGGCTCCATCTCACAACCCTGAGGTCATGACCTGAGCCAAAATCAAGAGTCAGACACTTAACCAACTGAGCCACCCAGGCACCCCCTGATTGTTTATTTTTAATTGTCTTCTTTTTTTTTTTTTAAAGATTTTATTTATTTATTTGAGAGAGAGAGAATGGGAGATAGAGAGCACGAGAGGGAAGAGGGTCCAGAGGGAGAAGCAGACTCCCCGCTGAGCAGGGAGCCCGATGTGGGACTCGATCCCGGGACTCCAGGATCACGACCTGAGCCGAAGGCAGTCGCTTAACCAACTGAGCCACCCAGGCGCCCTATTTTTAATTGTCTTCTGTGGGTGTTAAATATTTGAAGTTTTTCAGGATCTTTTGCCAAATTGCTTTCCAGAAAGGTAATATACACAGTTTTTACCTTCACCTGTTTTAAAGATTTATTTATTCATTTTAGAGAGTGCGTGCACACGAGCAGGGGGGAGGGGCAGAGAAAGAGGGAGAGAAGCCTTAAGCAGACCCCTGACTGAGCACAGAGGCTGACCCTGGGGCTTAATCCCGGGACCCTGATTTCATGAGGAGCCGAAAACAACAGCCGGACTCTTAACCGACTGAGCCACCCAGGCACCCCTACCTTCACTTTTGTGTACACCTTGTCACTCCTCACCAACAGTGACCGTTATCTTACTTTCAAATACTTGCTAATTTGGTAGTTGGAAAATGGCATCTCATTGTTTTGATATATTTCTTAAATATAAATTCATTAATAATAATAGGATTTCACAAGAACATATTTTAATGAAAGGTAGTAGGCTTTTCCTAGTGGGTGGTTGTAATGGTTATAACTGTGTGTGTGTGTGCAAACACAAGCACTGGATTCCTGGGCCTAAGATACGATTATTATTTTTTTTTCTAATAGGTCTTGGTATCTCGATGGACAAACACTGCTAATAATCATTTGTGTTGGCATCGTGTTCCCTCTTGCACTTCTTCCTAAAATAGGTAAGTCTTTAGAGAAGAGGACAGTTTTTATTTGGAAGGAAGGAAGGAAGGAAGGAAGGAAGGAGATAATATTAAGGGGCTTTTAAATTTCACAGTACCACATTTTTAGCAGAAGGGTGGTAGCAGTGAAAATTTTGAACTTGGACTTATTTTAGGTTGTTCAGCCTTCAGCCTTGCCTAGTTAGCCTATTACTTGGTTTGCAGTAGTATTTTGTCTGCTCCACTAAAATAAAATCTTTACAGTGGAACATTAAAGAGCAGCTTTTCCTTCCAGTGTACCATTAGTGGTAAGCCAGTTCCACTTCTGCTGTACGGAGCTGCATAAATGATCTGTGACAGATAGTTGGAATGTTGTTATTCTCAGCCCTAAGCCCCAGATACCAAGCACTGTAATGGAAAACATGCCCAAGATGTATAGCTTTAGCTGTATGTTAGGATCACTTTCCTTATAAATTGCTTTTTATTTTACTGTTATTTTACAGGCTTTCTTGGCTACACAAGTAGTTTATCATTTTTCTTTATGGTGTTCTTTGCTCTTGTGGTAAGTTTAAAATATAGCATATTGCTTATCTCCTCACTGAAAATGAACTTACTGTGTTAATGTGTTCTTTTTTTCTTTTAACTCTGTTTTCTGTCAGAGTTTTATTTCATTGTGTTATTAAAAGCACTTTTATTCCACATTATTTCCTTTATTGTATCTATTTTGAAGAGGCATAGCTAGAGCATCCTACCAAATCCAGTATCTCTTTTGGTTAACTAGAAGGGAGAGCACACTGATTCTGTTAAAACCTTAGGTGAAGTTTAATTCTTTGTGTAGGTGTGTGTATCAGTTTATTTCTGTATAATACTGGGTGTGTATGTGATTCAGCTCTTCCTTGTTGTTGAAAAATGAGTGAAAGAAAATGCTACCCAAAGGAGCAACACAACACACCAGTAGTTAAACCATATTATAGAGCCAGATTTTCAGGCTGTCACAACAATCTGGGATGCATTTAATTCGGGTTGAACTCTCTTCTGGGATGCATAGATAAAGCAACTTTAGATTATTTAAATGAAGTGGAAGTCACCCTGGTTTCAGTGTACAGAAATACTTTAATGGATGCTCTTAAAATACTTAACAGTGTTTACATTTAATCATTTGTTTAACTTCTCACCATTAAAAATCATTGCCCTCCCCACCTCAAATTATCTGACTTCTGTCCTAGAAGTAAATGAATTAAACATATGCTTTTTTCCCCCTTCAATTAATTTAGATATGATTGACATACAGCACTGTATAAGCTTAAGGTGTACAGCATAAAGACTTGACTTACATATGTAGCAAAATGATTACCTTAAGAAGTTTAGGTAACATCCATGAACATACACGTTTTAGGCTCCACATGGAAAAGGGAGACAACAGTTATTCTCGCCATAAATGGATTTTTTTTTTTTGCAGTGGTACTTTATTTTTTGAGTATAGTTGACACAGTGTTACATGAGCTGCAGGTGTACAACAAAGGGATTTGGTAAGTTTGTATATGACGCTTGGCTCACTGTAACGGTAGCTGGCATTTGTCACCATACAATGCTATTTCAGTATCACTGACTATATTCTTTATGCTGGACCTTTTATGTCCATGACTTACTCATTCCATAACCGGAAGTCTGTTTCTCCCAGTCCCCTTATCCATTTTGCCCAACCCCCTTCCCTCCTCCCTTCTGGCCACCATCAGTTTGTTGTTTTTATAGGTTTGATTCTGCTTTTTGTTTTTTATTCATCTGTTTTTTTAGATTCCACATATGAGTGAAATCATATGGTATTTGTCTTTTTCAGTCTGACTTATTTCACTTAACAAAATACCCTCTAGCTCTGTCTATATTGTTGCAGATGGCACTATGTCATCCTTTCTTGTGGCTGTGTGATATTCCATTGTGTACACACACACACACATCCATCTTCCTTATCCATTTATCTGTTGATGGGTATTTAGGTTACTCCCATTTCTTGGCTATTGTAAATAGTGCTTTAATAAACATAAAGGTGCATATATCTTTTTGAATTAGTGTTTTTGTTTTCTTTGGGTAAATACCCTGTAGTGGAATATTGAATCATATGGTATTTCTATTTTAAATATTTTGGGGTACCTCCATACTGTTTTCTACAGTGACTGTACCAATTTACATTCCTTTCAGCAGTGCCTGAGGGTTCTTTTTTTCTACGTCTTCACCAGCACCTGTTACTTCTTGTCTTTCTGATTTTAGTCATTCTGATAGGTGTAAGGTAATATCTCATTGTGGTTTTGATTTGCATTCCCTGATAATTAGTGATGCTGAACATCTTTTCATGTCTCCGTTGGCCATCTGTATGTCCTCTTTGGAAAAATGTCTATTCAAGTCCTCTGCCCATTTTTTAATTGGATTTTTTTTTGACATTGAGTTGTATATGTTCTTTATGTATTTTGGATATCCCCTATATCTTCTCCTATTCAGTAGGTTTCCTTTTTGTTTTGCTGGTGGTTTCCTTCACTGTGCAAAAGCTTTTTATTTTAATGTAGTCCAAATAGTTTATTTTTGCTTTCATTTCCCTTGCCTCAGGAGACATGTCTAGAAAAATGTTGCTGCCATGGCTGATGTCACAGAAATTACTGCCTGTGTTCTTTTCTAGGAATTTTATGGTTTTAGGTCTCACATTTAATCCTAATTAAGGGTCTTTAATCCATTTTGAATTTATTTTTCTAAATGGTGTTAGAAAGTAGTCCAGTTTCATAAACTGTTGAGAAGCATCTGTATGGCTAGGAATGACCTTTGTATGCAAATGAACATACGGATGTGAAAGAGAATCAGTCTAGATAACACTGAATTTTTTCCTCACAGATAATTGGCAATCCAAGCATTGCATAGGTAAGAATAATTTGGTTTTTACAGCCAGTAGTTTGAAGCATGTGAAATATATTGATACGATATGTCTTTTGTAGTTTTCATAATATTCATTTCTGTCATGGCAGATACTCTTAAATTTGATGCAAATTTCTTACTGTAGCAGTCATATGGAAATAATGCCCTTATTCTGTACTTATTGTAATGCTTTACAAACCATCTGCTCAGATTTTTACCTGTGAGCACAGTTTAAATTTGATCTACAATGGGACAATGAAGACTTTTTTTAAAATGTTCCTTTTAATTGTGACTTTTATTTTAGACTTTCTAAATAATTAGGTTTTAGGGCGCCTGGGTGGCTCAGTTGGTTAAGCGACTGCCTTCGGCTCAGGTCATGATCCTGGAGTCCCGGGATCTAGTCCCGCATCGGGCTCCCTGCTCGGCGGGGAGTCTGCTTCTCCCTCTGACCCTCCCCCCTCTCATGTGCTCTCTCTCTCATTCTTACTCTCAAATAAATAAATAAAATCTTTAAAAATAAATAAATAAATAAATAAATAAATAAATAAATAAATAATTAGGTTTTGAAATACATAATGGTTAGGGAAAGGAAACATGTATATATCAACCCAGACTTTTTGGAATGGTATCAATGGCTCCATTTACTATTTTTGTCAATATGTATTTATAAATCTATATAATATCTATATTACATTTAAAAAAAATTCTTAATATAAAAATTTTTTAAAAAATCAGTCCAGAAATCTATTACTTTCTTAAATTACACTCTCCAAATAATGTAAATCGAAACTTAGTCTTTTTTTTAAATTCTGATCAAAGCTGACTTTAATTTTTTACCCTCACACTTTAAAGGTTATCTGGTGGCTACCAGTTTCCCAATCCTAGCATTGGTTACTAGCTTACAAGTCTTAAGGTAAATTCTTCTCATTTACCTAATGTTCAGTTTCTACTAGTTTTAATATACACTGGTGTGAATACCATACTGACTGCTTTGTATGGAATTCGGTATTCTACAGATCCCATGGAGTCATGGGATAGAATCAGAAGTTTTATGTTTCAGAATCACATGTTTTATGTGAACCTCAGTGGTACTGTGGAGATCAAGGCAATTTTGCTTAGGTTAAGCAGAATTTATTTTCATTTGTAAGAGAACCCTCTTACAATGGGTTTATTCAATTCTTATAAAAATGGTGGCATTCTTTTGAACTATTCTTTCAAAAGCAGCAATTACTTAAGTGGAATATTGGATTAAACCTAAAAATGTGGACCCTAGTTAATTAACTTCATTATTCTGCATATAATCATGATAAGGGATTTGGATGTTCTTCACATTGCCAAGCAAAATCCAATTTAAAAAAGTTTGTTCTTACCAAACCCCTAAAAACAACCATTTGGGAGTAAACCAGCAGAGCATTACATCATCCCAGTGAAGCTGTAGGTTTCATTATATGCACCCACAAATGAGATGGCTAGCTTCTGCATTCCACTTTTACAGAATTTATTTTACACCTATTATACCAAATGGCATTTTAAACACTGGCATATAAACTCCCTAATGACGTAAAGCAAAGACAAAAGTGTTTATCTTATTAGAAACAAGACACACTATCACTTATAGCCTTCAAACATTATTGCACTTTAACTTTCATAGTTTGACAATGCATTCACAGAACAATCTGTAGACAACTCATTTTAACAGACAAAGAACACTTTTAAGCAACCATGCCTGAGCCAAATTGTTTATTAGGTAAGGATTTTACAAACATTACTTACACAGTGGAGCTGGAGAGTATCACGTCTCCTCCGTGCTGCACAGCAAGAACCGCGCATAGTCTGCTGGAACCTGGAATCCTTTCTCACGGCTCATGCGGCTGGCAGATGTCAGCCCTGGCATCACCCGGTGCTTGTGGACCAGTTTGGCGATCCACCGGCTGTCAGGATTTCTTCTCATAGTTTTATGGAATGGATCAATGAGGATAACCTCAAAGAATTTGTACATGGAATCTGCCAACCCAGTAAGAATTCAGGACTCTCAGAGCCTCACAGTGGCATCCAGCTCACTCCTCTGCAGCCCACTGAAGTCTTCTGGCAAACCTTAGCTGGTTAGCACCGTGATGGACAGGCTGGCTCGAGGTCTCACCATTAGGAACAGCGTTTGGGGCCACTACAGTGAATCTGATATATGACATAACCTTGCTTGGCCTTGTACCCCAGTCTGCATGCTTTATCGGCTGGCTTTGGGGGGCTGGGGGGAGCCCTATGGAGCACACAGAGCTGTGGGTACTGCCAGCAGCACACCCTGAGAAGAAAGTGCATTACATGGGACTGCTTCTTCCTCCATAGCTCCTGGATGGACTTGTAAGTGCCCATCTTGGCTGACCTTTGAGCTGATGCCTGCCACCAGATGGAAAGCAAAACTAAGTCTCATTTATTTATTTATAAATAAATATATTTATATATTTATAATATATATATTATATTATATATGTTATATATAATATAGGCCTGGCTTGGAGCCCAACATGGGGCTCGAACTCACGACCCTGAAATCAAGACCTGAGCTGAGATCAAGAGTCTGAAGCTCAACCAACTGAGCCACCCAGGTGCCCCAAAACTTACAGTCTTATCTGTTGCCCCAGATCCTTATTTTGCATAAAAATTTTAACATAAAATTTTGCCCCCTCTGAAATATCTAAAATTTTTAAAATTCATTTTATTTTAACGGTGGCTCAAGAATGACAGTAACCAGATAGATTTACCTTTTTTGGTCCATTTTAGAAAACTAATGGATTGCCATTCTTTCCAAAAGTTCTGTCTTGAATGCAGATTAGTATCTTAAGTAATATTTTAGTAAGCCAGTAATCAAAATAGAAAACAGTTTGGATGGTTTGTAGTCAGAAGCTTTGCTTGTTCTGAGCACTGAGTGAGGCATGATCGGTGCTTCAGATAGATTTGTGGACACTGCTCATGAGGATCTGGCAATCTCGTAGGGGAGATGAGAAAAATTAATTGGAAAAAAATAGACAACAATGTAGACAGTACATAATTAAGCATTGATTTATTTGCTTCAGAATAAGAAGCACAGCAGTTGACAGGAGAGAAGGAAATTAAACTTGACCTGAGCCTTGAAAGATGGGAAGAACTTAGAACAGAGGGAAGAAAGGGCCTTTTACGCAAGTGAATTACTTTTCCCTTTGTCTTTCTAACCCCTGGAGTTTTCTTCTTACCATGTTCTGTCTTCACCGGGAGCAAGGACTCCCTGTTACACTTTGCTGTTGGGTATCTTACTGTTTCCATGCTGTGCTCTATAGCACAGAGCATCTCACCATCCCACTGGGCAGGCTTAGGCTTAGGATGGGTCTCTGCAGGGAAATTAGCCATAGTAACTGAACTTTATATTAATATAAAACCAAACTGCTAATGACTTTTTCATTAACTAGGAATTCATTGAAAATGAATGAAAGAATCATTATATTGTATTTTGAAGCATTGTTCTGAAATATTTTGATTTCCAAGCCAAGTAAGCATAGCTGATAAAATAAATGAGCTAGCTCACGTTCCAACCTTGTCAAAGTACTTGGTACCCAAGTTCTCAGTATATAGTTGCTGCCGCCACCACACCACTGTTAGGAAGGGGGAGATGTGCAGCCTGCATTTGGAGTCGGGCCAAGAGAGAGACCAGTGACAGCCGTGCTGCCCTAGCTTCTACCCTGCCCCACCCTCATCCTTTTTTGAAAACATATCAGAAAACAGATATGAAATCATTGCCTTTGATTTTTTTTCCTCTTGGTAAGTTGACCATTTAGTTTTATTTCATATCGAAATAAATGTCCAATGTCCAAGCAACTTGCTCAGTTTACCCATTTATTTCTTTTTCTTTTTCCTTGGTGAGGGTTTTAATTAAGAGTAATTCTTTAGTTCACGCATTAACTCAATTCTAAAAGTGTATGTTTTCCTTAGATTTGTCTTATCGGTATATAAAATTTTGTTTGAATTAGTTAAAATCCAAAACTAGATAAATACCAAATAGGAATAGGACTAGTATTTACTTATTGGTCTCCTGCTAAGGACAAATGCCTCTTTTATTCTCCCTTGCCCCTGTGTGTGGTGGGTTCCAGCCTGGAGCAAATATTTACAGAGTAATTATGTGCCCCGAAACTACTGCAACCCGGTAATGTCCACACGGCCGCAGCTGTAGGTCTAGAAGAAGGATGGCCACCATCCAGAGTAAAATCCCCAGATATTTGTGTTGATTATTTCAGGGAAATAACATCCTTCTGGATTTCTTTTAATTTTTTAAAAATTTCTTTTTACCAGCTGGAGCTTGCTAGCCATGTGCTCTTTTCTTAGCCTGCTTTATCTACATTCACTAAAACTAATGGAAGTCTGAAAAAAGCCAGCAGGACAGTACTTCTCCATCAGAACTCCTGCTTTGCATAAGTTCTCTACTTACTTCTGCCTGTGGCCATCTCCCAAACTACTATTAATATTTCTCTATCTGCTACTGATGCCAGGTCCACAAATAGCTGTAATCTTATACCATTGTCACTAAAAACATCAGGTTCCCATTTTGAGTTGTACTTTTTTTTTTAATGCCTTGATGCTTTGGGGGTTTGGAAAGTTGACAGTTGACATGAGAATACTCTCCATCTTTAATGGGGGAGAACCCCACTAAACAGATATGCAGCATCCCCTCTCCCCTCACGATAGGTATCCATGTTAAAGGATGACCCATTCTAACTGGAAAAAGATAATATGAGCAAAGATCTTCTATTAGCTATTATTTGGTATGGTATTAGTTTAATTGAAATCATGCTGACCTGTTTGAAATCAGTGTCTTGTCATGAATTTTATAAGAAATAATCTTCAGTGTGGATTCTATTTATTTTTACAGGTGATGATTAAAAAATGGTCCATTCCTTGTCCTCTGCCATTAAATTATGTAGAGCAATACTTCCAGGTAATAGTTCATATTTTGTTTCTTTTTATTTTAAGCTAAAAAGAAAAAAAAATTAGACTAATGATTTTTTTTCTAATTAATGAAAAAGTAATGGCTATATTGCAATTTGGGAACTTTGTTTTGAAATATTTTTATTTGAAAGCCTACTAATAATAAATACATCATTTTTGATGATGTATTCTGACTTTTAGTGACTGTTGGTTTCTCTTTTTCCCCTCAGTCCTCTTAAACAGATTTCAAATGCTACAGATGATTGTAAACCAAAGCTCTTTCATTTCTCCAAAGAGGTGTGTAAGTTATTAACAGATACTTTTGGTTGATTTTTCACATTTCAAGTTTTAAGAGATTTGTGTAAGAGGGTCTCTTAGGTCTTTGTACCTGTAACTAATTAATTTTCATGAAAGTGCTAAGTATAGGGTTGCCTACCAGAAGAATAATATTATTTAACACAGGGTGGCCCATTATGAAACAGCCACCTTTTTTTTTTTTTTTTTTTGGCATGCCTTTAAATGGAGCCTGTTTTAAATGGGCCACTGCCTAAAAGAACAGATTTACCAAATGTCTGGTCTGGCCAATAAGGTCCTCTGTGGATACAGACTTCCTGTTGCCCTCTGGACTTGTAAAGCTAAATAGCCAATTATATCAGAAACTCCTCCCCTGTGAGTAGAACCTCCGTCTGTAGCTAAACAGCTTCATCATTGGACCAGCAATTGAGTGCTGCCAATATATATTCTGGCTGACATTCCAAAGTTGAAATTTATGACGCTTGGAGTGGAGACTAGAAGACCAAGTCTCCTTGCCATCTCTAAGAACCAGGATACTGGAAATGTCTGTTAAGAGCCCCTGAGCATTGGCAGAGGAGACAGGAACTGTGATATGGTTGATGTCTACTCTACCATTCTAGAAGAGCCCACAGTCTTCCCTGTTGCCACAAGTTTCTTCATCTACATTTTTTGATTCTGTTGAAATCCAAGTCCCAGATACTAGAATCCCCTCCACTCTTGTACAACTCTATTAGTGTAGCATGTTAGTGTGCTAAGTCCTCCATGCAGAATTTTCCTTTTTATCCCCAGTTTTTCAATGAGAAATGTCTCTCTGGCTCCACAAGGGAGATTACCATATCCTTTACATGGTAAAGGCTATCTGCCTTAAAGATCTATCTAGGTAGAGTAATTGACAAGCCAGGAAATTGAGCAATATATGAAAGAGAATTTGTGAATTAAACTCTCATTCCCCTAATCCAGCCTCAGGAAATGCTACAGCTTTCCTTCACAGCTCCCTTCAGATATTTTAGGAGGAATTATATTCCAAGATAGGTCTTCAGTCATCTGGAATTTTTGTTGAAGAGCCTAAAGCTGTTAGTTAGAGGGTAATCTTTTTTTTTTTTTTTTTATTAAAGAGTTTATTTATTTGACAGAGAGAGAGCACGCGAAAGAGAACACAAGCAGGGGGAGTGGGAGAGGGAGAAGCAGGCTCTCCGTCGAGCAGGGAGCCCGATGCAGGGCTCTATCCCAGGACCCGGGGATCATGACCTGAGCCGAAGGCAGGCGCTTAACAACTGAGCCACCCAGGCGCCCCGAGGGTAATCTTTTTATAGTAGAAAAGAGAAAATAAATCATCACCACCCATTTTATAAAGACAGTATTTTCACTTAGATGATGACTTTGTTTACTTTATAACTTCCTCTGGCTCTTAAGTATTCTAATAAAAAAAAACCACTTATGTTTGTGTATTCCAATGGATCTTTAAGAATTTGTCAGTCGGGAATATATCATATTCATTCCCATTGAAACAGATCCGAGTTAAAGATGCTAAGATGTGATTAGTATTTTCAGTATTCCCTTAGATTCAGTTGATGGTACTCCCAACATGGTATAGAAGCCAGCCAAGAAATATTCTGGCTAGCACAGGCAGTCCAACTATCAAGTAAAACATTTGTTGGTGACCATACTCATGTATCTCTTTAAAAACAAACAAAACACCCTTATTTTATAAAGAGATGATTCGTGAAAGATGAAATAAATTTAAGCAAATTGATTTTTTTTTTTTAAGAACTGAGTTTATTGTCAAATGGAGTAGTGGTTTCAACAGGATAGCATTTAATAATTTCATCTTTTTAAATTCTTTTCCAGAGTGTTTATGCCATACCTACCATGGCTTTTTCATTTCTCTGCCATACCTCAGTATTGCCAATATACTGTGAACTTCAAAGGTACCATAGAATCCTGAAATATTTTAAGTGTATTAAGTATTTCTTTTTATTTAGACTTTCAAATTGAATGACATTCTCCTTTATGAATCCTTCTTTCCCATCACTGGATTCTAAGTGTTAGTTTATTTATTTATTTTAAAGATTTTATTTTTAAGTAAGCTCTACACCCAGTGTGGGGCTTGAACTCACAACCCCGAAACATGCTCTTCTACTGACTGAGCCAGCCAGGTGCCCCTAAGTGTTAGTTTAAAACAAAACAACTGATATGCTGGCTTACTGAACATAATAATAATAAAAAAAAGAAAGTTAAAAAAAAAAAACTCAGTATGGTAAAGATGTAAATTCTCCCCAAGTTGATATATAAATTTAATGTGATCCCTATTAATATTTTTAATAAATACCCTGAAGTTGAAAAAATAAATATCTACAGACATGAAAAAACAAACAAACAAAAAAAAACAACTGAGAGTTCTGTCCAACTTGAGAATGTTTGCTGGAAGCATAATCTTTGTGTAGTAATTTCAAATCAGAAATTCTAATATATAGTTATAAATAAAGTAGGTCTTGAACAATTAAGGAATCCTCTTGACTAGCTTGGGAGCTTTTTGTTTCTTTAGATATAATTCAGATCATAGTTTCTACTTTTGCCATTTTTGTCTTTTAGCCCTTCAAAGAAAAGAATGCAAAATGTAACCCACACAGCAATCGCCTTAAGTTTTCTCATTTATTTTATATCTGCACTCTTTGGGTACCTCACTTTTTATGGTAAGTATATTATTTAATTACCAATGACAAAAGAAATTACCCTATAGTTGATCTCACACCTGAATATACACTTTGTTTCTGCCTTTCATTAGTAAGTTAATTTGTTTAGGCTGCTGGAATTCAGTGCAGTACTGTAGTAGCTTTATGGACCTTAAAAAATTGATTTTCTTTTAATAAATGTGGATCAAGTTCAAGATTAATAACTTCATATGAAAATTTTCTTAAACACCCAAATAAAGCTTAGGGACATTGCTGTCTTTGCACAAGAAAAAAATGTGCAATAATGATTTTATTTTTTAGTTGAGAATTCAATATGTTAGACTCTAGTTCAGTTTGGGAGGTTGGGAGAATCAATCATCTTAATTGCAAAAGAACAAGTTAAGAAAGGAAAGGGTTTGCACTTGGTTATAGTTGTACGCTTAGATATCAGAGATCTTTGCCTTCAGACTTAATTCACACAATTTGGCAATGTGCGTTCTATGATGCACCATGATCTTTTCCCATAAATTTTGTAAAGGATTCTTTTAAATTCTTACAATAACAGTGCATTTTTTTTTATTTTTGAAAAATTGCCTGGTTGGTATGTGTTTTTTTCTGTTCTGAAAAGAACCTCAAGAAAAACTAAAACTTAAAAGTCTAGAACAAAAAAAAAAATTGTAGTCTCTTTAATTTGCAAACATATTTAATTTGGAAACAAAGCCATTATAACAAATTGCACTCAATTTGTCAATTCTTGATTACATTTTTCAGCTTCTGAGCGCTTTTATAACAACTCTCCAAGTAAATGGCTGTTAGTACTCTGGTGATATTTAGCTGTTATGACTGATTTATTTCATGGTTGATAGCTTTGTGCGCATGCTGCAGGTTTTAGATGGCCATGATTACTTCAATGGTACTTTGCTTCTCTCCCAGAGTTTTTTCAAGTCTGACAAGTTTTTGGACAACGTTTACTTGCACAGCTGCCTTTACTAAATCAGTTACCTTTCCTAATCCCAGTGGAAAGAGTATGGATTTTGAAATCCAACAAATGTGGTACAGATAACTACTCTGCTCTATGACCTTGAACAGGAGGCTCACCTTGTAATCTCTTCGTCTCCTAATCTGTGACAGGGGTAATTTTGTAGAGTTGTATTGAGAAGGAAATGAGTTATGTGTAACATGCCTGTTACAGTATCTGGCACATAGCAGTCTTGTACAAAGGAGAGCTACTGCTGGTGGTTAATGTTATTATTATCATTAGCATTGTAGTTATTTTATAATTTCAGGTGTTCAGTTTTTCAGTCCTTTATTTCTCACTATCTTTAATGGAATTTAAGTTAAATATGGTAATTCTATAGTACTATGTTATGAGTATGATCTTGGAGTTTTCAGAGTATGAGAAAATTATAATTGCCATATAGTCCTTTTTTTATTATCTCTTTGCTATTTTAACAGTAATGAAGCCCATTCATTAATCTAAATCTGCTCTTGCATTTTAATACTGATGTAGGATAAGAGTAGTATAGTAGAGCTGTGTGTACACCATCAGGAAAAGCATTATTTCCAACATGAGTATGGTACCCTGCTGGATACGCTACACGGAAAATTAAGGCAGATGGTTAAGCTTTTTTGATCATTGCTGATGAAGCAGGATTCTTGAACTACATAAACTCTAGTTTTGGTTGTTGGGTTTGTAAATTTTTGTACAGACTTGAGCTCAATAAGACTTTCTAGATCAGTAAGATACTGTAGCAGGTTCTCTGTTGGGATTCAGCAAAAACTTAGTATAACAGAATAGCTGTATATTTTTCTAAAGTAAAATTGTCGCCTAGCACAAATACTCTTCTATTTAGTGATCTTTGACTTTGAGAAAAAATCCAAAAAATAGACCTCTTCCTCCTCCTTATGGATAAATAGCTGCCTGGAAGAAGCCACAGACGGCCTGCCAATCTCCAGGATTGCTGAGGAATAGTTACGTAAATTACTGTGACATGCGGTACTAAATTGTAAGAAAGCTTAGATTGAAAGGAAAGTGGAGGAAGGACGGATACTAATACATTTATTGAGCTAACGTTTACTACGTAAGTGCCCAGTATTTTATATACATTGCTTAATTTAATCCTTACACCTCCACAAGGTATAGGTTCACATCGGGTGAGTGGTTCAGCCAGCCAGATACCTGCCGCTAATAACGAGCTGGGATTGGATTCCAGTTCTGACTTTTCTCCAGAGTGAGTGCTTTTGTTATCGTGTTGCCTCCTCGGGAATTATGCAGTAGAACTGAGATTTCCTTCATCCCAAGTTTTTGTTAGTGAGCTTTTGGAAAAACCTGGCTCACTTAAGCTCCAGGCATACCTATATATCTTTACCCACCTACCTACCTACCTACCTGTATACCTACCTATCTGTTGTTACGTGAACACAGAGGCTAAACATTTTCATTACGGAAGTGAAGTATTTCCTATACAGCGATTGTCCTTGTTATCAGGTAAAGCTGTTAATGTTGTCTCTGACTTAATCCACTGCAAATTATTCAGAGTATCCACATTTTCTCTAATGGAGAAGTACACATCTAAGAAAAATCTCATCATAGGTGGGTGATAGATAAGAAGAATGATATAAAAGTAATTCCTTCTCCAAAGATAAAAGAGAATTCAGATATTGATTTTGCTGTTTACATTAGCTTTTGGGGGGTTGTTAATTATAATTAAGGAACATCTTTTATGGTATATTTCTATCGAGATAACAGTAGCTCTCAGTCTTATGGAAAAAAATTGTTGATTGAGCAATTATCAAAAGGGCTAGTCATAAGTTAAGGCCTTCAACTCATTTTGTAAATGAGCAGCTGAAGCCCAGAGAAGTGATGTGACACGTCACACATTTAGTGGCATGTCTCCTGAATCCTAATCCAGTGATCTTTCTGCTACTCTATGGTAATCTGTATAAACTTCATATGGCTGATGTAATAGTATATATATAACTTGCAGAGATCACTGTCAGATCCTTACTGAGATTTATAGAGATTTGTCTGAATTCAGAGAAGTGTGTTGTACTCTGTCCCTTACATATGTTAAGGCTCAGCTAAGAACACAGAATTGACTGTCTCAGATGAAGTGTTTTCATCCTGGGAAAGTAGAAAGTGGATATGTAACAGATATTTTGAATTTATAATAAATCTAGTTCTTCAGGCTTCTGGAGCTGCTTGGGATCCTTTTATCCAGTGCTCCCAAAGCTTAGTTAATATCTAAATTTTGTCAGATTACAGGGACCTATAAGTATGTACCTAGATTAATAATACTGGCTCTTTATAGATGTTAAAACATTATAAGGAGAGGGAGAAAAAGTGTTCCTCTGGGGAGCCAGGCCTATGCCCAAATGTTACGTCATAACCAGACCATTTTAAAAGTACAAAATTGTTTTTTGTTTGTTTGTTTTTAAAGATTTTATTTGTTTATTTGACAGAGAGAGACACAGTGAGAGAGGGAACACAAGCAGGGGGAGTGGGAGAGGAGAAGCAGGCTTCCCGAGGAGCAGGGAGCCAGATGCGGGGCTCGATTCCAAGACCCTGGGATCCAGAACTGAGCCGAAGGCAGACGCCTAACGACTAAGCCACCCAGGCGCCCCTAAAAGTATAAAATTGTTAAGCACTAAGTGTTAATAGCTCATTTTCATGATTCAGAAAGTGGAAATAAAATAGTTTGCCATATTTTTTCAAAGGCTCACAAATATCTCAGGTTTGGAAATAATACCCAGCTTTCCTGGCTCTTCTTAATCTCTTAGTCTACTAGTCTCACATCATGTAAAGTAGGTCTTTGATATGTTAGACAATTAGTTTCTCTCCCATTTCCATTATCACTGGTCTAGTTCAGTTTCTCATTACTTCTCAGTGATTATGACAGTAACCTCCTGTTATGGGTATCTTTTTCTTCCTGCTTAGTTCAGATCATAATACACTAATCTTCAAAAGTCATTGCATCTCTGTGGCCCACTTCATAGGGTTTACCTATGAAGAGCCCTGCTCCTGGGTTGTAAATGCATTTTCTGGCCATATCACCCACTGCTGTCTTTGCTCTGTAGCACACCCTCTTTCAGCCACGGTAGCACCGCCGGGTACTCATTTTCTTAGATGCATATTGTCATTGCTACATTGGGGCTTCTGCCTGTGCCCTTCTTGCTCGGAGAGAAAATCTCTTTCCCCACACATACATTAACTCATTTAATGCTCTCAGTAATCCACAGGTCAAAATATTATTGTCCCCATTTTGCAGATGTAAGAACAGAGAGAATCAGAGAAGTTAAGGTGCTAGTAAGTAGAGGAATTTGAACATTAGTCTGTGTAGTGCCAGAATTCAGGGCCCTCTACCTTGCTGCTATTCTCTAGACCATGATGACTCTTCCCAAGCCTCCCTGGATTTTTTCTTGCTCATCCCAAAGTCACAGTTACCTTTCCCTATTCAGAATCACCGTAGCTCTTCCTTTAGCACGACTACTGCCACTTAACGTGTGTATCTATGTTTATCCACTTTCTGTTATATGGGTATGTGTGTCTTATTGCTCCTTTTTATTTTAAGGTCCTTGTTTTTTTATTTCCTCCAAAGCATCTTTTCCAATACATATTACTCTCAAATTTAAAAAGCACCATTCCATTTTAAGTACAAACTGATCTTTGCCTGCAAGGCAGGATATGGAGTGCTCTTGAGAGTGCTCACTCTTCATGCCCCTGTCTGACTCGGGGTGCAGAAGACATTGTGAAACTGGAAGAACAGCGCGGAGCAAAGCCTGGTCAGTGTGTGCACATTCTGCCCTTGCCTGCCACACTGGCTTGCCGAGTAAGCCATTTCCCTACAACTGCATTTTCTTAGGAAAGAGGAATCTACAGATGAAATGTTGATGAAGCAGGCAACATGCACCAAAGTGTAAGATTCTAGAAAACATTGCGGTATTGAGGAAAAGGTATTGGTTTTGGCACCAGAAAAATTGGGGTGTATAGCTCTGCGAAGCTCTTCCCCTTTTTGTGGTGTGATCTTAAGCAAGTCACTTACTATTTCTTAGCCTAGCTACCTGTCTGAATTGTTATTGGAAGGAAACACGTGATACACTTTCAGTAATACATGTGAAAGCACCTTACAAAACAAACATAAATGTTCAAAACCTTCAGATTATGGAAAAGTTGTAAAGAGATATTTATATATATATATATTCATTGTCATAATTTTAGAGGTTCTGCCTGTGCTGGTTTCTAGTTTAACTAAAAGAAAAGATTGTAATTTTCTTTTATATATATATATATATAAATACTTTTTAAGATTGTAATTTTCAAGAAGATATTTAACTAATATCTCTGTGTTTCATAGGATAAGAAAAAGGCCAGAGACGAATTTGGTCTGGGAATCCAAAATTTGTTAAGATCTATTTGTGCAAGAAAAATAATTTTGCTGTTATTGACATCTTAGTAGTTTATAATGTGGTCGTTATTATTATTTTTTTAATTGACAGACAAAGTGGTGTCAGAATTACTGCAAGGTTATAGCACATACTTGCCCCATGATGCTGTTCTCATGACTGTGAAGTTATGCCTACTATTTGCTGTGCTTTTGACAGTCCCTCTAATCCACTTCCCTGTAAGTATTCTTAAAGGGCTTGTTGCTTAATGTAGCAGCTCCCTAATATGGCAACACTAATGTTTTGCAGACTAGAGTGTTTGAATCACATCTAGTCTTGTATATCTTACTCATTTGTCAAGTAATTGATCAAAGACCTCATACTTGCATATGGCCCCATGAAAGCACAGAAAGAACGATGAACCACTAAGCTAATTTGTGCTTTTTGAGATTTAGTTTAGATTTATGCTCTCCCACAGCATTGTTTCCAATTTAGAGACTATGGTTCTTCTAAAGTTTTGGGTTTTTCCCCCTCTTTAATTCTGTATTCTGTTTTCAAAAAGAATGTGCATGAAGAGGCAAAAGTCAAGTCAGCAAAAATAAGCTCCTTCTGGTTTATTGTAGATTTGTTTTCACATAGACATTCTAATTTAATCCTAGTCAAAATATTTTTTTGCTCTAGAATTATAATTAAGGGGCAGATCAGATCTTTATTCTGCATTTAGTTGCCATATGTAAGAATCTTAAGAATTTCTGAGAAAATGGAAACAGAGACTTTAGGTATGAATGGTTCTGCATGAATGTCTTGAACCCCTAAACAGTGAGCTCCCTAAGAACTGGACCTTCAAGATCTTTGGCCCACTCCTTGTGTGAACTGCTCTGCTAGGCGTGCCTTGGTGGGGGGTGGGGCGCTGGCAGCGTATGAAGTGGGAAGTGTCATGAACTAGTTTTTATATTTACATGCTATGAAACAGATAATATAAAATAAAATAGTAAATGATGTTTCTTTCCCATAGCATGACCTCTTTTTCTATTTTAACCTTTTGTTCTGTGTGTGAATTTAATGAAAATGATTCTCCGAGATCTCATTACACAGTGTTATTGTTGGTCATTTTGAAAAGTATGCAACCTAGAGAAATTGAGTGCGAATGTTTCTTCAAGAATTAAAGCAAAATAATTTTTATGAAGCTCACACAGAAAGGTATAATTCTTAGTTTATGTGTCATAAACACTTTATAATAATAGCTTATGCTATATTTTAAAAATCTAATTGGTGTAGGGCACAAGAATGTCATGGTTACCGTGTTGTACCTGTGTTTCCCTAAACAAGTATTTTGGCTTTGACACTTTTTCTTTGCTTAAATCTGTTTGTTTTTCTGTTATACAGGCAAGGAAAGCTTTAATGATGATGTTTTTCTCCAGCTTTCCATTCTCATGGATTCGCCATTCTTTGATCACTCTAGCAGCCAATATTATCATTGTTTTACTTGCATTATATGTTCCTGACATTAAGAATGTATTTGGTATAGTTGGTAAGTTTTCTGTTTCAAAAAATCCCATATAACAAAATGGATAAAATTGTCATCCAGCCTCACATCTGAATCTGGCAATACCCTTTTTTTTTTTTCCCTGCTCAAAGGTTCCAGTACATCAACGTGTTTGATTTTTATATTCCCAGGACTGTTTTATCTTAAACTTAGCAGAGAGGATTTTCTCTCATGGAAAAAGCTTGGGGTAGGTTAGCTTTTGTTTATTTTTTTTTAAGAATTCTGTTTTAAGAAATAACTTGTCATTTTATAATTGACTATTTTATCTACATTGAGAAAGTTAATGTATTTTGAACTATAACATACTTTATTGGAGAAGGTGGAGGTTTAAAATACTCTAATTGTTCTTTATCGTTTTATTTCCACAGGCTTTTGTTTTGCTCATCTTTGGAATTTTGGTTGGGAATTTTAGTTTAGCACTAATCATTTTTAATTGGATTAATAAATGAAAGAAATATGTTCCTACTTCTTATGAAGAATAATTTACCTCTATATGCAAAAAAAGAGTAATTCTGGAAGGCACCTTGGATAAATCCTTTTTATATGGGTAAACATTTTTGTAAACATTATTAACAGAAAAGCAGAACAAAATGGGAGTAGGTAGGGGAAAGTGGGTTTATAACAGTTTTAATTAAAATAAATTCAAAATGTTCTTCGATATATTAGGTCAATCTTTGTGGTTTATTTTTTAAAAATTAATAGATTTTGTTTTTTCAGGTCGATTTAATGTTTACAGAAATATTGAGAATATGCAGAGTTCTTCTATATCCCCTCACTGCCAGCACACCCATAGTTTCCCATATTATTGACATCTTGCGTGAGTGTGGTACATTTGTTACACTTGATGAGCCAATATTGATACAGTCTTATTAACTGCAGTACATAGTTTACCTTAGAGTTCACTATTGATGCAAGCATTGGCAACCACTGATCTCTTGACTGCCTTCATAAAAACTATGAGCCTTTCCCTGTGAGCCTTTCCCAGAATGTTATATAGTTGGAATTATATATTATCTAACCTTCGAGGCTGGCTTCTTTCACTTAACAAAATGTAGTTAAGTTTCATCCATGTATTTTCATATAGCTCATTTCTTATTATCATTGAATAATACTCCATTGTTATGGATGTGCCAGTTTATTTTTTCATTCACCTGTTGAAGGACCTCTTGGTTGCTTTCAGAGTTAAGAATAAAGCTGCTATCAACATTTGTGTGCAGGTTTTTGCGTAAATATAAGTTTCAGTTTATTTGGGTTAATACCAAAGAGCACAATTGCTGCATCATATGGTAAGATTTAGTCTTATAAGAAACTGCCAAATTGCCTTCCAAACTGGCTGTAATATATTACATTCCTGACAGCAATGAATGAGAGTTCCTGTTGTTCCTTATCCTCACCCGCATTTGGTGTTGTAAGTGGTTTGGATTTTTGCCATTCTAATGGGTGTATAGTTGTATCTCATTGTTGTTTCAATTTGCATTTCCCTAATGACATATGATGTTGAGCATCTTTTCATAGGCTTATTTGCCATCTGTATATTTTCTTTGGTGAGGTTCAGATCTTCCATCCATTTTTTTAATTGGATTGTTTTCTCATTGTTGAGTTTTATGCATTCTTTGTGTATTTTAGATACCAGTCCTTTATCAGATAATGTGTTTTGCAAAGACTCTCTCCCAGTCTGTGGCTTGCCTTTTCATTCTCTCAACAGTGTTTATGGCAGAGCAGAAGTTTTTAATGTTATTAAATATCCTGGGTCAATCTTTCATTTGTTTTTTAAGAAATCAGCGTATTGAGCTTATATACAAAATTGAATGTTCGCTGTGGGTTAATGTTGTCAACATTAATCACCAATAACAAAACTGTGGGATTATTTCATTTGGTATTTTGCCCTGCCTCTGAATCTTCTCTAAGAAACTTTTGTGATTTTCCTGTTGTTCATTATGAGATAGAGCTGTGATGATTGGCTGTGGATTTGGAAGTTCTCTGAACTTTCTCATTTGTCACTACAACATGTGACTTTCTACTTGGCAAACAGACAAATAGTGATTTATATCATATTTTCTGTGGAGGTTATAAATCATTGTTTCCTATTGATGTGGCTTATTTCTGGTTGGAAACCAGAAGCTAGATCTCTCCTCCCCATGAGTGTTCTATGTAAAGGACACCTTGTTAGCAGCCTACCAAAGCCAGGGTGTATCAGTAAAAATGTAATTCTACCCTTGTGCACATGTAAAGTAGGGAATTGCATGCAAAGTACAATTTGCATGTATGGAAATACACACTTTTGCAGGTGTCCCCTTGCTTCCCACTTAGGAAATGGGCTGAAAAATTGACAACTGAGCTTCTCTTTTGAGTTAAGATATTTCTTTGGCAACTGGGGATAAGCATAGTATAATGGAAAAAGTCCAAGTTTGGGAGTTAGAAAGACTTAGATTCAAATCTCAGTGAGTTTAGGCAAAGTACTTAACCTCTCTAAGCCTCCACTTTCACATACGTATTAAATGGAGTTAATACCAATTATACATGGTTCTGTTGAGAGGATTAAATGACCTTGTATAAATTGGTGCAGACCAAGACAGGCTCTTATAATAGATGAGATAGTTATCCCCTTTTTCCCATCTCTTCATCTGGACCAGTAAAATAAATTTGCTTTCAATCAGGGACGTGGAATTTCCTCATCTTCCATCTTGCACAGCTAATATGTTTAGAATCTTTCTCTAGCATTCATTCACAGGGAAAGTGGCCCCATGTGCACTCTTTGTAGTGTTTTCCCACAGTTCTGCCCCCGCTGTACTCTTCTACTGATATCTTTCTGAAAATGGGCACTTAGCCTGGTCCCAGGGGTGCAGTCAGGTGTGGCTTCCCATGTGGCTTCAGGTCAGCCAGAGCCCATCAATCTGATAAGCTCATTCTTATACTCTCTTTTTCTGTTTATGAAATTATAGATCCAAATACAAATAGGTGTTCAGCTGCTTACATAAATCTAATTCCAGTAATACCAAAATAACCCTAAATCTGCAACAGATGCAAGGATGCCCCCTGGGGCAAATGTTAAGTGTGATGACAGCTGGGCATCAGTTAATATATTTGTCACCTGCTCATGGGATAGGATCATGAGAGGTTTGGCAAAGGAACAAGTAACCTATTGAAATCCTGCACAAAACTTACTTAATATCAAGAGAAAAATATTTGTGGAAGAGTTTTTTATTATTACTATTATTATTATTTCACTTTAATATTCTGCCTTATCTAGTTGCCTGTTTGGAGTCACAGCTTCCCCAAGAGTTTGGAGGAAGCTAATAAAATGGCAGGTAAGAGCAGTGCCCCCTTTACCAGGATTACCAAAAACCTTGTTCAAGTTCTCTGCTGCATTTTTCCTGGGAAATATGGCCCTTCATTTATGGGCTTAATGTTCATAATTTATTAGGTAAGAACTATTTAAAATAAAACTAAGTAAAGCACAAAATATATACTTTTCTAACACTTGGAGACTTGTTTGCTAAATTAAAAGACAAAGTGCTGAGAATATGAATTACTTTCATATGTTGAGAGTGAATGTTTAAATTGTACCTTTTTTTAACAGAATGTTTACTCATGAGCTTAGCATTTAAATGGTTAAAACAAGCCTTTGAAGTTAACACTCCATTAAGATGAATGGGGGTAATTCACACCTCTGCTAGTGCTGTATTATTTCAGTCTGGCTGAGGAGAAAACAAGACAGGAGTAGGTTGATTTACTGTGTGAAGGGCCCTTTAAACACCCAAGGTCTGGAAATCTTTGTGTGTGTGTTTTTTTTTTTCCTTTCCATCTAGAAGCAGAACCTGAAATTCAGCACAAGCTAGGTATAGAGCTGCAGTCTAGAAAGTACCATTCTCTACTGTGGCAATTCCTAACTGGCTTTTGATGGGTAGCAAGTTACCACATCAGCCCAACCTCTCTGGCTTTGTTTGCTCCTCTGTTTCTTCTACCATAACACCTTTTAAATGTAAGTTTAATACCTGGTAAATTCACCAATGGAAAAGCAGAACCATCCATTTTCAGGTAAACTTTACACATGCCTTTAAATGGGTTATGAGCTAATCACTGGCCTTCATGTGCTCCTAGAAACTTTTTTACCTTTGCAAAATCTCATGTTCTATATTTGCCTACATACAAAATATCCACCTTTAAGAACTTTTTTCTCCCCCGCCCCCCACCGCCGCCATTTGGGGGGTGATCTCTGAAGTGAACAGAGATCAGTTGGGAAAGATTCATTTCTTTCTCCATGTGACCTTTGCACCAGTACTATTTTGTATTTGAAATGTGTATTCTCCGCATTCGTGGAAGTGCTATAACCATTTGACCCTGAAACGATTCATTTTGGAACCTAAGAATAAGGTTCTGTGAGCATAAATGAAATGGTGAGCATTGTATGAGATATTACTGAATTTGAAAGATCTCTTTTTAAGGTAAAGGGATTTTTCTCTTCTCCATTCTTATCCTGTGTATTTGCAGGATCAGGTTACTAGATAATCTGTGGGCAGCTGGGTGTGGAGTCTCCGGTGCTGACTTTGCCAGTATGGTATATAGAGATGGAGAATAGATGTGAGAAACAAAAGGACTCAAACAATTAATTTTAACCTGATTTTCTTCTTGGCATGTTGACAATACTCTGCGACTATGTTAGAATTTAACCCTATTGAAAAAGACCTTGTTTCCTGCCGATAACTCTGCCTAGATTTTAGGGGTCGTAATTTTTGGTCTTAGAACTTCTCAGAACCTTTTATAGTACTGAGAAATTTGTTGTAGTTTTTTTTATTTAAACACAATTTATTCATTTTTCTACCATTATCCTCCTATAGTGTTCTCATAATGAAGAGGGAAAAATAGGAAAACAAAATTTTGGTGAAGGATGAGTAAAGATATTGTGGATGTGGTTTCCTCGTTGTAGTCAGAATTCTGTTTCTCACTCCTCCTAAACAATCTGATCTGTTTTTACTGTCCTCACGATCGGCTGTCCTAGTTTGTGAAGCTGTCAGTCAAAATGAGCAGTGAGGAGAAGCAGGAAGACTCATCTTGGCTGGTGGCCGAGAAGCCAGGTGGGAGTGAGAGGTTTTTTCCCTATGGGACAAAGGGAAGGGGCGGGGAGGGAAATGGAGTTGCCAGGGAGAAAAAAGACGATTAAAAGACATGGTTATATGGAACGGGATAAGGAGAAAAGACTTGCAGGGAAATGTTTCTCTCTTGTTTGAATGTATATGTGTTTTATATAGGTTAGTGGACCGATGCACAACACAGGCAAAGGGACTGGCTAATTCACTGAACAAATATTTACTGAGCACACAGTATGTACTAGGAGTTGCACGTCTTCCTAAAGTTGTGAGGTTAAATAAGACACCTGAATTTCTTGGATAAAACTTGGAATTTGCTCTTTTTTTTTTTTAAGATTTTATTTATGTATTTGACAGAGAGAGACACAGCGAGAGAGGGAACACAAGCAGGGGGAGTGGGAGAGGGAGAAGCAGGCTCCCCGCCCAGCAGGGAGCCCGATGCGGGGCTCGATCCCAGGACCCTGGGATCATGACCTGAGCCGAAGGCAGACGCCCAACGACTGAGCCATCTAGGCGCCTCAAAACTTGGAATTTTCTGATTGAACCTTTTCAGATGGACTT